TTGCTCCCCGTCTCCCTGGTCTGCTGGCTCCCCCAGCAGACCAGGGAGACAGGGAGCAACTTTTCTCCCCCCGGAGGAGGCGGGCAACGGGACCAGGCGTCCCGCCGCTCCAGTCCTCCGGGGCGAGAAAAATCCCCGTTCGTATCTGCGGATCCGCCGTTAAGTCGGATCCGCGTAACTCGGGGACTGCCTGTACTGGAAAATTTGGTATGAATGATTTAATTTATGTATTTTTAAATTTTTACTGTTAAGATCATTATCAGCTTTCTAAAAATGATTTGGTGATTGTTTCCTGCTTATTAAAAATAATCAAATTCTATTCCACGGTGTTCAACTTAATAACTTTTAAGAAGTGAGCAAGTATTAGTTTAACATTAGATGAAGAGATTCGTCAATCTACTTGACAATATCTAATTTTATCTGAATTAAGTATTAAGCATTGAAACGTGTACTTAGTCAGAAAATGCAGATTCATTAAAACTGAAACAAATAGGTAAAAAAAAGTGAACATCCCAATCTGAAAAAGAAGAAAACATGGTCAAATATCAAGTCTTGATATTTTTTAAAATAAAAGTTTAATATAATAATTTGTAATAGTTTGAAATACCATTTTGTTTCAAAATTCAAATGAATTTACCTTTTTTAAAAAAAGTTCACAAGTGAAGCATTTTTAAATAATTAAGATGTCTTTCAAGTAATCCATTAAGTTTTTTAAAATTTTTGTGTGTGTATATGTGTGTGGAGAATTTGACTTTATATTATGATTTGGGACAAGAAAAATGTTCAAAATCTTAAAAACTGTCATTTCTCAGGAAATCCACTTCTAAGATAATTCTGCTTAAAACTAAAGGATATTGAGGTAAAAGCAACTATGTAAGAAAACTAAGAGTGTCTTCCAAAGACTGAATATATTTGCAGTTCACAGTTCTCACTCTTTGTCTCTTTTCCAGCTCCAACAAGATCTGCTATCATGCGTTCCTCTAAATGATTTATATTTGTTTAGATATGTGATAAAGCTAAGTGCAGCCAGAGTACACCTGCATTTTCTGTATCAAATGAGGATGGATGTAAATATATCTGCCCTCCTAATCAACAATTTTGCAATACCGTGTGGCTATTAGAAATACACAGGGTAGGTTTTAGTGTTATATTTTTAGTGTTATGGGAGAGGTTGGGGTGTAGCTTCAGATATACAACAATTACATCTGGGGACTTTTCCATACTGCTCTAACATTTCCTAAACTACAAGAGGTGACTAAACCATATTGTTATGGCAAGGGTATCCAGTGAGGCAGGAGACATCCATGCACATGGCTTCAACTTCTGTGGAGCTAGAGGTGGCTTCTCTGTGTATCTCCAACATCTAGGGAGTTGGGAGACTTCTTTTGTCAATTAAGCAGGCCCTCGTTCTCTTTCTACTGGAGGAATTCTTTATTGGAAAAGGCAGAATGGTTTTGATCTCCATGCTGAAGTTCAGAAGCTGTTGTAGGTGTTTGGCTGGTCAGCTGGTTGGTTAGTTTTAACGTAACCTGCGATGTCCTCACTTCTCTTCAGATAAATATCCAATCTGTCTCAGCCCACATTGAGTTGTTTCTTTCTTTTGATCACAGGCAATGGACTGGGAATTCGAATTGTTGGTGGAAAAGAAATCCCAGGGAACTATGGAGAAATTGGAGCCTACATTGCCAAGATCCTGCCCGGGGGCAGTGCAGAGCAAACGGGGAAGTTGATGGAAGGTAAGTTAAAGGTGTCATCAAAAACTGGCACTGAAGGAACATTCTGAAGGGTGGGAGTCATCAGGGAGTCAATTACAGCTCCCCAATCCTAAGCCAAGACCTCTCTCTAATGAGACTTAAAGAAACATTTGAGCATGTTCAATAATCATGCCCCGTTGAAAGGTCTTTTAATGGCTCCTACGCCAATTGAGAATTTATATGACAGAGAGGAGTTGACGCAACCCCATCTACTGCTAAGCATCCTGTGCATTATATATTAATGTTGTTTCAGGAGTTCAGAACAGTATTTGCAAATATTTGTTTGAATTTTGTGTTTTATGTGACCAGGTTCTTTCCTCTATTGCTCTCTTTATGAGCATTCCAACAAATGGGCTTTTCTTACAAACACTTGAGGAATGGTTATTGAGTTAACCCAATTCATTGTTGTATCTGTTGGTTTTTAAATGCTTGTTAATTTCTTTCTCAATAATATTTTATAGGCAGTAAATAAGGAAAAGGTTCTCTTTTCAAATTAAAATTGAAGGTTAATGAGGAAATTGCTCAGCATTCTCTTTGTTTATGCTAAGGGCCTATTTCTGCCATTGATATATTGCATTTGGCCCCATTGCATTCAGTGGCTTAGTAATGGAAGAAGGTACATATCTACTGATCAGACTACTGGCTGGAAAAAAAATTACATTAATATAAAGTAGGAACCTCTTTGTTCATGTCCTCAACATCCATACAGAGGACTTACAGTGCAACACTTTGGGTGTGTGCTGCTGTTCAGAGCCTTGTAGTCTAAACTGTGCAGCTGAGTAGACAAGCCCTAAATCTGGATTCATGTTTTCCCACGTATATTTAAACTTTCCACCCATAAAAATTGGTCTTGATATGACTGAAGTGTGTATTTCCTTAACTAAATAGCTTATATAGCAATCCAGAGAAAGAGTAGGAAGCAGCAATGCTATATTGATGACAATATGTCATGTTTTGGGAATTAGGAAGGGCACTTAATGACTGAAAATCCACTGACTCTGCTGAGCAGAAAACTAGCCTTCTAGGCTCTCCTGCTGTGAACAGCTTTTGAAATAGAATTCTAAAATAGCTTCTCACACACCATTCACTGCTCTATTCAGCAGTGTTGTTTGAATATACTATGTCCATCAGTCTCAAACCAAGTGACTGGTCATCTGGACTCCTCTGTCATTACCATTGTGCGTCATTGCTATGGTTAGATGAACAAGTCAATGAAATAGTTATCTCTTCTTTTCCTTTTCCTTTTGAGTCCTCTGAACAGCCACATTTTAAGTGGATCTTCATAGCCCATTTCTGAACCGAGTTATACCAGCATAACTCTGAAATAACTCCCCCAGAATCAATGGATTTACCCTGAAGTTGTTTCACTATAACTGAGAACAGAATGCAGGCCCTGGAATAGCACTGAATGCAGTTTCATTGCTGCTCTGTAATCTATTCTCAAACAGGGTCAAAATTAGCATTCTAGTAAGGTATGCCCACCCACACAATATGCTTTCCATTCATCATAACTTGCTAGAAATAAATCATTCTCAGTCTTATCACTACTGCCAAGTGACTTTTTATATTATTTTAAAAGGTTATTGCTCGTCTGACAAGAATATGTCCCTCTGCTTTTTGTATTTCTTGATCAAAATGCTGATTTTGTTTTCTGAACTTCTAAATCTGCTAATATATATTTGATTTGTAGTAAGGTCTGTGGGCCACTGTCTACTGTCTAGTAGAATGGTGTGGATCTCGAGTTAATCCAACAAAGTTCTTGGTGTTGATGCCTGACAGTAGAACTCAGCCTTGTATATTTTTCAGTCTTTTTGCCACTTCACATATGAGAAGGCAGGTTTATATCTTACACATATGGCTATTTGTAAATGGTAATGCTCTTTGATCAGCAAACTGTTTGTGTAGCAATCATGATTCACTTTGATGCTGTAATGATTCGTGGCTGCCTATTATTACACATACTCCATAGTCATCAATTAATCATATAGAAATGTTATCAGGAAAAAAAAGTCATGACTCACCAAACTTTCCAAGAATTTGACCTCCACTGATTACAAAAAAGTAATATTTCTATTAGCTCTTGTAAGTACTGGAACAGGTCTGAAATTCCCTCCAGTGGAAGAAAGTGATGAATATATGGACAGGTCAGTATATTACAATGCATCTTGCTTATATGTTCTTTTTGGATCCGTTAATGATATTAGAGGTATCTTCAATAGTGATTAGGAAATGCCACTCTTTCTGGGTTCTCTCATCTTGACTTGCTCCAGGAGTTCAAAAATAGCTCTGATTCATCTTTCTTCGGGGTCACATAAACTGGAAGTGGAAAGCTGATTCCACTGGGCTATCAATTAAAGGTAGTAGTCACAGTTTGATAGACGTGTCTGATCTCCCTTGCATGTTACTAGAGACATTTCTATAATCTTCCTGTTATTTCTGAATATTTATTGAATGTTATAATTATATAAAAGAGAACAAAATGACAACTCACAAAATTTACAATAAAAATTATCATTTGTGTGTGTCAACAAAAAAGTTTACCGAAATTGCAAAGTCAAGCTTTCAGAAGTTAGGAAATGCCAGATCAAATTTTGCCTATGCAGGACTCATGCATATGTATTTTCCTACAGTCTTTAATTACTCAATTCCGTACTATTTTTTTCCCCAGGAAGCCTAATTTCACTCAGTGCACATAATGGACAGTGTTCAGTTAATTAATTCAATATTTTGTTTTATCCTCATTATGCAGTGTGTGACCTTAGGCTTTGTTTACTATGACCTATTCAAACCTTGCAATGGAGAAAGAATTATTAATGTCCTCATGGGCTTTTCTGTGGTATTTATCACTCTAGTGTCTGAGAGTGCCATGAACATTAATTTATTTGTTTTTGGAACACCTCCTGTTTGTGATAGAATGTCATTATCTCCATTTTTCAGACCGGGGACTGAGGCACACAGATTTACATCAACTGTGTTTCCTAATTGTGCGTGTCCAATTTGAGACACTGAGGAATTTTTCAGAGTCCTTAGCATTTTATAACACTTCATATTTTCAAATAACCATTCTCATTGACCTCAGGGGCAGCTGTGAGTTCTGAGCACTTTTGTAAATCACACTGGATGATCTCAGGTCAGGTACCCAGAAAATGAGGAACACACAAATAGTTGCTACCTCTGAAAAATCATATTTAGTGAATTTCCCAGCATCGTATGTCACACTCGGTAAAAGTGTCACAGATGGAACCCAGTTTTCAAGGGCAGCATTAAACTGCCTTAACCATGAAATCATCCTTTTTCATCCTGCAAATGCTGCCTCCTTCACAGTACCCCTTCCCCTTTCCACATCTGATGAAGCAGGGTTCCTATGGGCAAAAGCCCCCTTCACTGCACAACCTTAATTCATCTCCAGAGCAGGTCCATTCTGTGTACTGAATGATGCATGGGACCTGTAGAAAAATATCAGATCATGTAATTAAAGACTGTATTATAATTCAGAAGCAAAAGGTTGCGCAAGTAACTTTAATTCTGGTATTTCCTAACTAGTGAGCTGTTAATGATCTTAGAGATTAAAAAGACTTGAACTTTTCAGTTTAGAAAAGAGGAGACTAAGAGAGGATATGATAGAGGTCTATAAAATCATGACTGTCATGGAAAAAGTAAATAAGGAAAAATATTTACTTATTCCCTCAATATAAGAACTAGGAGTCACCAAATGAAATTAATAGGCTGCAGGTTTTAAAACAAACAAAGGGAAGTTTTTCTTCACTCAGCTCGCAGTCATTGTGTGGAACTCCTTGCCAGAGGATGTGGTGAAGGCTAGAACTTTAACAGGGTTCAAAGAAGAGCTAGATAGATTCATGGAGATTAGGTCCATCAATGGCTATTAGCCGGGATGGGTTGGAATGGTGTCCCCAGCCTTTGTTTATCTGGAAATGGGTGACAGAGGAGGGATAACATGAGGATTACCTGTTGTGTTCCCTCCTTCTGGGACATCTGGTATTGGCCAATGTCAGCAGACAGGATACTGGGCTAGATGGGCCATTGGTCTGACCCATTATGACCTTTCTTAAGTTCTTATATTCATTTTTCCCATGTGTGTGTGTAATTTGCTAGGGTTTTAAAAAAGCAAACTAACTCCTGCCCCAGAAATTCCATCATATAGTATTATGTTGACAACCATATGGGTCGTGAGCAGCGTTCTCTCTAAGATTTTCCAACAATGAGTGGAGTGAATTTTGGCTGTGCACCAATGTTGAGGTCATGTGTGCTGGTTTGGATGTGGGCCACAGTGGCACCTAATTTATTAACACACACATTTTCCCACACTGGAGCAGAAATCCTCCCCTCCCCTGCCATGCAGACAATCCCTCATGCATCTCCGTCCCCCCTTGGGCATGCGGCAGGTCCCATTCCTGGCCTCTGGAGCAAACCCTGCACCCTTGGCCATGTGTCAGGTCCCATTCCCGTCCTCCAGAACAGACCACACACCCCCAGCAATGCGGCATGTCCTGTTCCCAGCCACCAGAGCAGACCCTGCTCCTTGGCCATTCAATATGTACCATTCCCAGCCGCTGGACCAGACACTCCCCTGTCATGTGGCAGGTCCTGTTCCCGGCCCCAGCTGACAGAACAGGCCCTGCCCCCCGCCAACTACTGGAGGAGGCCTTCACCCACTCCCCCACGATGTGGCTGAAGCAGGTCCTGCCTCTCTCCTCCCTTTCAACATTAAAAGGAGGCAGCTTTCTCTTCCATGGTTCCTAGGCCTAGTAAGGGGGTAAGGAGCATTCGAAGTACACAAGAGAATCTCTCTGCTGTCTGTTCCATTGCTCAGTCCTAGCCTGCAATGGCCCAGAGCTGCAACTGCAGGGAAACTCCTGCTTAGCCCCTGACCGGAACATGGCCAGTGAAGACAGAATCTTCTGGGAATTTAGCTACAAAGCTCTAGAAACCCTCTACTGAGCACAGGCAAACAATTTTTTCAA